CCTTAGGGAGGGTCTGGATGTGGGGACTGAGGGAGCCTCAAGGGGTCTGTGAATGCACCAGTTGGGTGGGAGTGGATCTGCCTGGGGGTAGGAAAGCTCTGCAGGGAGACCTAGACTGGCTGAGACACAAGGAGAGGTTTCTTCCCTGTTAGTGTGGTCAGGGACCGGGATAGGGAATCGCCCAGGGAGGTGGTGGAGTCAGTGTCCCTGGAGGTGTCCAAGAGGTGTTTTAGTTAGGGGTTCCAGCAGTGACAGGGTAATGGTTGGACTCAGTGGCCTCAGGGGTCTCCTTCAGCCTTGAGCATTCCATGATTCTGTGATCCTGCTGCCTCCTTTCCATGGCCCTCACTAGATCCCTGGCTGCATAACCCTACTGTGTCAGCTGCTGTACTGTGAGCAGGATGAGGGATCCCTTCCCTCCTGAAACCTGCCCAAATGAGGGAAGCATTTTGGGCTGCCCAGGGAGGTGGTGGATTCACCGTCCCTGGAGGTTTTTAGGCTGAGACTGGATGTGGCACTTAGGGCCATGGCCTAGTAACCACGGTGAGGTTGGACTCGCTGATCCTGGAGGCCTTTCCAACCTGTTTGATCGTGTGATTCCAAGATTCCTTGCTGCAGCTGAGCTCAGGCTGTGCTGTGCCCGGTGTTTTGCCCAGCGCAGCATGGACAGCGCTGGCTGCGCAGGGAGTCGCTAGCAGCTGCTGTGTCCCCCCAGGGCAGAAGGAGGCATGAGGAGAGGCAACATGGGCCACCTGACCCGGATAGCCAACGCCGTGGTGCACAACATGGAGAAGGGTCCCATGCAGACCCAGATCAGTGACTTCATCAAAGGTACCTGCTGCTCTCTGCTCCTCCCGCTGGGAGCACTCACAGCACCCGTTCCCTGCAGGACCCTCTCTGGTCACAGGGGTTCCCTGGGAGCAGCACAGCTCCCTTGCTCTTTGCTTGAATACAGTTGTTGTTGGAGCTTTGTTTTGGCCACCAGAGGCCAAAGGTCTCTTGTCTTGTGTGCCAAGGGGATCCTTTCCTTCAGGATTTGTGTGCATATTCCTAGGGCTGATGTGCAGCATTCCTGTCCTTATTCCTTAGGCACAAGGCAGGGACAGATGGGATATTGGGAAGGAATTCCTGGCTGGAAGGGGCTGAGGCACTGGCACAGGGTGCCCAGAGCAGCTGTGGCTGCTCCATTCCTGGGAGTGTTCCAGGCCAGGCTGGATGGGCTGGTGGGAGGTGTCCCCACCTGGGCAGGGGTGGGCTGGATAGGATTTAGGGTCCTTCCCACACAAACCAGTGTGTGACTCTAGGCAGCCAGTGGAACTCCTCACCCAGGAGCTGTGCTGATCCTCATGGTGCTCTTCTCTTGCCAGAGCTGCCTGAGGACTGCAGGGGGAGGTGGGAGAGCTTCGTGGAAGAGACGCTGATGGAGACGAACCGGAGGAACACAGTGGATTTGGTGAGGACAGTGGCTCTGGGCTGGGCTCTTCTGGGCTTTGTCTAGCTGAACCAAGTGAAATTCCTGGGTCTTTTCCTTCTTCTGAAGACTTTCAAGGGCAGAGTGTAAATATCATATTCCATGCTAGTCCTTCCAGCAGATCCATGTGGATAAACTCTGGTCCAGGTTATTTGTTGCACCAGTTTCTGCCTTTGGAGGAGTTTGGGCTTTGCCTGTGGGTGTGGAACTGAAGGGTTTGAACTTTCCCACCTTTCCCTTGGGCTCATCCCTCTGTCGTTTCCCCAGGTGAGCACTCACCACCTGCACTCCTCCAGCGAGGACGAGGACATCGAGAGCGCCTTTCCCAACGAGCTTTCCCTCCAACAGGTCAGTGGAGAACACATTCCTCACTCTTCCCAGGATCCTGCTGTTCTGCTGTGTCTTTGATCCATCCCAGGACGGAGCAGCTTCCTGAATCCTGCTCCTAGTCACTTGTTCAGCTCGTTTGGGCTTTTCCAGTGTAGCTATGTAGATGGTTTGGACTCCAGTTGGGAATGAATTTGGTTCAGACTGCACACAGTTCCCACATGCATGATGGGTCCGGGGCAGGGCACGGAGCTGGGAAGGGGCTGGAGCAGAAGGAGAGGCTGAGGGAGCTGTGGGGGCTCAGCCTGGAGAAAAGGAGGATCAGGGGAACCTTCTGCTCTCTGCAACTCCTGCCAGGAGGTGCAGCCAGGTGGGGTCAGGCTCTGCTCCCAGGGAACATGGACAGCACAAGGGGAACACCTCAGGCTGTGCCAGGGGAGGAAGAGTTTGGACATTGGGACAATCCTCCTGGAAAGGCTGTTCAGCCCTGGCACAGCTGCCCGTGGTGACTTCCAGTTGCAGCATGAGGGGAAACAATCCAGTGAACAAACCCACACCAAGGTTCTAACAGAGTAGTGAAGCCAACAAATGGTTCCCTGGGGAAATTCCTGCAGGAGCAGATCGGGGAGGCATCAGTGCATCCCTCACAGTCTGTGTGATCCTGCTTTGAGGAAGGGCTTGGAGGAAAGGATTCCTCAGACTTTGTCCCTGTTTGATGACATTGATGCTTCTCTAGGACAGTGTTTTCTCCAGCTCCCTGGAATGTCTCTGGAATGTCTGAGCACCTTACTGATGGCTCTGTTTGGGTCTCCTTCCCAGGCCTTCTCAGAGTACCAGATCCAGCAGATGACAGCAAACTTTGTGGATCAGTTCGGCTTCAACGATGAGGAGTTTGCAGACCAGGATGACAACATCAAGTGAGTTTGTCTCTGTTTGCCATCTGAACGTCTTTGCATCTCATCTTTCTCCCGGGTCAGGTGTGAGGAGGAACGTCGTTATCCCTCCTTGGGTTTGGAATGGGCAGGAGAGGATCTGGCTGGGGACCAGCCCAGCCCTGCTCTTGAGGGTGCGTGTAGGAGACAGGAGTGGCTCTGGGGATGGCTGGTGGACTCACATGGGGATGCACAGATTCCTCGTTGGTCACAGAATTCCCTTTCCTGCCCTTTCCCAGTGCTCCTTTCGACAGGATCGCAGAGATCAACTTCAACATTGACGCGGACGACGACAGTGTGAGTGGGATTTGAGGGTATTCGCTCTGGTTCTGGCAAGGTTGTGCTTCCACCTGGGAAGAACAAGGAGTTGGTGGTTCTTTGGGACAGGGAACAGGTGGGACTGAGTCCAGTTGAGGAACTGGGGGCACTGCATGTACCCCAGAGGGTTTCCCCCAGGAATGGCTCCTCAGAAGTAGCATCCTGGCACTGAAGGAATCTTCCTCTTCTCTGCAGCATCAGTGTGTTGTCCTTGGAATCATGGAATGGCTTGGGTGGGAAGGACCTTAAAGGTCATTAGTTCCAATGCCAGGGACACCTCCCATCAGCCCAGGTGGCTCCAATCCCCATCCAGCCTGGCCTGGAACAATCCCAGGGATGGAGCAGCCACAGCTGCTCTGGGCACCCTGTGCCAGTGCCTCAGCACCCTCCCAGCCAGGAATCCCTTCCCAGTATCCCTCTGGCAGTGAGCAGCCATTCCCTGTGTCCTGTCCTTCCAGGCCTTGT